TTGAAAATATTATCTTTTCTTTCTTTTTATTATTTATTTTTGGCATTCTTTTCTTTCTATATTTTGAGTTCCAGATTCTCTCTTCTCCCACCCATTGAGAAGGCAAACAATAAGATATCAATTATATACGTGAAATCATACAAAATATATTTCCATATCAGACATATCAACAAAGCAAAAAAAAAAGCAAGAAAATTATAATTCAAAATTGCACTCAGAGTTTATCATTTTTATTAAAGAATACATTTTAATTATTAGTGCTTTGTTTGAGAGACCAATCTCATAATGAAATAATATAGAAAACATTTTTAAAGCATTAATTGAGCATGATGGAATGCTACAAGTCAATTTTGTAATTTTTAAAGAAAATCATTTTTTCACTTTGTAGTTTCAGAATTTAGCATTTAATGTCCAACATACAATATTCACTTTGAAAGGAATCTACTAAAGAATCTACTGAGGGGCAGCTAGGTGGTGCAGTGGATAGAGCACTGGCCCTGGAGTCAGGAGGACCTGAGTTTAAATCTGCCCTCAGACACAAAACACTCCTATTTTCACCTCATTCCCTCCAGCATTTGTCATTTCTGATAGGTGTGAGGTGGTACCTCAGAGTTGCTGTAATTAGTAGTGATTTAGAGCGTTTTTATTTGACTATGAATATCTTTGATTTCTTTTCAAAACTGCCCATTCATATCCCTTGACCATTTATCAATCAGTAAATGGCTCTTATTTTTATAAATTTGATCCAATCTCTACATATTTGAGAAATGAAGCCTTTATCCGAGAAACTTGGAATAATTTTTTTATATTACTTTATTGTCTATGGTAACTTTTAGCAAAAAAAAATAATTTCCCTGTTTATCTCTTTTAGTTAGGCCTATTTTTGCTTTTGTTTTATCTGAGATCATTACTGCTACCCTTGCATTTTACTTCAGCTGAAGCACAACAGATTCTGCTCCATTTCCTTATTTTAACTCTTGTGTGTGTCTTTCTGTTTCAAGTGTGTCTCTTGCACACAACATACTGGTAGATCAGGGTAGCTCATCTCATTCACATTCACTGTTAGGATAACTAACTGTGTATTTCCCTTCATCCTATTTTCTTCTACTTATCCTTCTCTCTCTTTTTATCCTGTCCTTCCTTAAAAGTCTATTTTGCTTCTGACCACTGCCTCCCCTAATCTGCCCTCCCTTTTATTAGCCCCCTTCCCCTTCTATTTCCCTGTTGGGTAATATAAATTTCTATACCCAACTGTTTTTGTATATTCCCTCTTTGAACCAATTCAGATGAGAGTCAGGTTCAAACACTGCCCACCACTCTATCTCCCTATTTTCCCCTCTATGATAAAAGCTCTTCCTGGCATGTCTCTTTCATTTGAGAAAATTTTCCCCACTCTACTTTTCCCATCCCTCTTCTCTCATCCTTCTTTCTCTCTTTCTCACCCCTACAATTTCTTTTGGAAATCATGCCAACACAATCAACTCACATCTGTGCCCTGTGTCTATGCAGACTTCTTCTGACTGCTCTAATGATGATATAGTTCTTATGAGTTACGTATATCATCTTCCCATACGGGAATGTAAACAGTTTAACTTTATCAAGTCCATTAAGATTACTCTTTCACGTGTGCCTTTTTATGCTTTTCTTGAGTCTTCTGTTTGAATGCCAGATTTTCTATTCAGCTCTGGTCATTTCATCAGGAATGCTTGAAAGTCCTTCAAATTTCATTAAATATCTGTTTTTCGCCCTGAAGGATTACATTCAGTTTTGCTGGGTAGGTTATTCTTGGTTGTAATTCTAGCTTCTTTGCCTTCCAGAATATCATACCCTAAGTCCTCCATTTCTTTAACATGGAAGCTGCCAAATCTTGTGTGTTCCTGACTGTGACTCCATGATACTTGAATCACTTCTTTCTGGCTGTCTGCAATAGTTTCTCCTTGACCTAGGAGCTCTGGAATTTGGCTACAATATTCCTGGGAGTTTTCATTTGGGGATCTCTTTCAGCAGTAGATCAGTGGATTCTTTCAAGTTCTATTTTACTCTCTGAATCTAAGATATCAGGGAAATTTTCCTTGATAACTTCTTGAAATATGATGTCTAGGCTCTTTTTTGGATCATAGCTTTCAGGTAGTTCAATAATTCTTAAATTAGCTCTCTTCAATCTATTTTCCAGTCAGTTGTTTTTCCAATGAGACATTTCTACATTTTCTTATACTTTTTCCACTCGTTTGACTTTGTTTTATTGTTTTATGAAATCTCGTGGAGTCATTAGCTTCCATTTTCCCAGTTTTAATTTTTAAGGAATAATTTTCTTCAGTGAGTTTTTGTACCTCTTTTTCCATTTGGCTAATTCTGCTTTTTAAGGAGTTCTTTTCTTCAGTGAATTTTTGTTATTATTAGGCCAATTTTGTTTTTTCAGGTGTTATTTTCTTTAGTATTTTTTTGGTGCCTCTTTTGCCAAAATGTTAATTCTCTTTTCATAATTTTCTTGCATGACTCTCATTTCTTTTCCCAATTTTTCCTCTACCACTCTTATCTCTTTCTTTAACCCTTCCAGGAATTCTTGTTGGGCTTTCTTTGAGGGGAGATAGGGGGCAGAGTGTGCTTGTAGCTCTTTTAACATTATTGTCTTCTTCTAACTTTATGTCTTGGTCTTCCCTGCCACCATAGCATTTTTTTATGATTAGGCTCCTTTTCTGTTGTTCGCTCATTTTTCCAGCCTATTTCTTGACTTTGAACTTTATCTTATAGTTGGGCAATGCTCATCCAGGGTGGAGAGGCACTGTCCCAAACTTCAGGCTTTTTCGTGCTGCTGTTTTCAGAGCTAGTTCTAGAGGTGTGCAAGTTTCAGTGCTTCCAAGGTGGTATGATCTAGGAGAGGTGTGGTCACTGCTCTGCCTTCTGGTCTTTACCTAGAAAGGGCCCCTGGTCCCCTGCAGTTGCCAAATGCCCTGGAACCATGACCAGAGCTCCTGCTCCCTTGTGATTCATCACAAGCACTTTTCTCTGCCATGGAACTGTGACTCAGAGATGATCATGGGCAACAGAGTCGCCAATCAGCACCAGCTGCACCTGGTGCCAGGTGCCCTGTAATCATTTTCTGACCAGTTGTCTGACCCCTTAGCATCTCTGGGCTGAGAGCTCCCATAGCTGCTGCAGCTGCTGCCATCACTGTCACCTCCAAGGCCCACCACCAGCGTTCCTGCCACGCTCCAAGCCTGCACCTACCCCTGTGTTACAGAAATCTCCTACAGACCTCCTAAGTTGTCTTAGGCTGGATAAATGGATAAATGGCTCTGACACTCCAAAATTTGATATGAGGCATTATTTTAATGTGTTTAGAGGGCAATGTTGGGAGAGTTCATTTGGGTCCTGGCATGTACTGCCACCATCTTGGCTCTACCTCATCCAGCCTCTATTGTGCATTTTCTTAAGTGAAATCTAACATGCCCTTTTTCTTATATTCAATTTTGAGTTTAACTTGCCATCTTGGGGTAAATGTTCCAGACATATTTATTGATATACTCTTACCTCAATGAATTAACATCAACCCACATGTCATTTTTCCACTTTCATCCATTTAATTTTTCTGTATGGATTGTTAATCTTTTTTGAGTAATTATAGATGTCACTGACAAACTCTTGTAATCTTCTGGGGTTTGATATAATCAGTATATCATCCCACAAAAAGGAAATCAATTTCTGTACAAAACTCTAACAATATTACAAATATAGACATGTTGTAAAGACTATTTAATTAATCACTACTGACTAAAAGTCCACAAACACACAAAAGTTCTATACATTGGTTATAGTCACAACTCAATTATCAACTCAGTTGAATAAAGTCTTTGAAGACCAAAAGTTTCATTTTTCCTTCTGTAATAAATGTCTGTTAATCTGAATTGAATTCATTATCATTTCCATATAAGTGAAATTTCCAGATAAATTATTTCTTTATTTTAATCATATCTGGAGGATATAGAATGTATCACAGAGAGCTCATTCAACAACCTGGGTCCATCCCTCCTTTCTAGCCTCTCATGCTATTTATTGTAAACTTCTATAAAACCAAATTGCCCCCCTTTTCATGAACTTATCCTGCATTACCCTATCCATACCTTTGCCAAGATAGTTCCCTATGTTGAAAATACACCATGATATCTTCTAGAAGTTCCTCACAATCCTTTTCTTCCAGACCCATATAGTACAGGAGGGAAAATCTGACAGCCAAGTTGATGAAGAATTCTAGGAATCAAAGATGTGACTTTGAAACAAGGGCTGTCTGGGAGCAAGTATGGGTATGAAGAGGCCATTTTCTCAACAGCCGAAGGTTGCTGATAACCCCTAGGTAATAGGGTGCTCCCGTACATGGCCTTTGACTCAGATGGACAGAGCGCAAATTGTTTAAGAACATTGGATTCATATGAGATAGGGCTCTTGGAGTCCTGTGTAAATTAGAGGCTACAGTAGAAAACACAGAAGCAACATAGAAAGCATCTTTTCTTGAGTGAGAAAACTCTTCCCTGAAGAAAAATATTTTTTCTTGTATTTCCAAGCTTAGTTATCCTGAATTAGAATTTTTTTTTGAAAGCAAATAAAGCAAAAACACACCACATATAGTTGAAAAGAAAACACAATTGCTTATTCTATGTATTTTCTATTTCACGGTATGTTATTTTAAGCTTTTACCAAAATAACTAGCTAACTAAATGAAATCATTGTTTTCTAATATGAGATGTCAAAAGCAAAGGCAAACACCTCTGAGGAGCTCATTTTCTTCCCTTTTAAAAAGACATTCTGCTAGGAAAACTGTACCATACTCAATAAAGCAAAGTATTCACAGAGCAGTCTGTGAAATTTAATTAAGACTCTTAAAACTGTATGTTGTTTTTTATTTGGTCCTCCTATTAAAGAACCACATTGTCTGAGAAGAATGCTGAGAACATGCATATTTTAACCCAAATTCAAATGATCGAATATTAAAATAAATAAGCTACCTTTCAGCCTGCAGAATTAAGCTAACAGTTCCTTCTTTCAGGTCAAATATAAGTGGTGTATTCCAGTTCTTTGTACTAAAAGAGAAATAAAACATACATTTGTTAACATTTCAAAAATATAAAATAATTAAGTAACAATCAAATGTTTCACTTAGTTTTATATCAGTTTGCTTTTTATAAAACTTTCTGGCATGTTGAAGTAACAGGTTATTTTGAGAGTATGATTTAAAAATGCAGGGCTTTTGCTTGCACACTGGTATTTCCTTTTTTAAGTGGGCCTCAATTCCATTCTTAGAGAACAGCTATCTCATGATCTAAGAGTCTAAATTTCTTAAGGGCAACGATTTCCTTCACTTAATCTGCTCTGTCCTTCGCCCAGCACAATCTTACAATGTTTGCTTACTAAGACATGACGACAACCAACCTATGTTCAAAAGAAGAGCTTTCATCCTAGCACATTATCGAAAGTAAGAATAAATCAGAACGTAGGTCCACAAGTTATCTTTAAATGAACAATCTGTGAGCATGCTGCACCCCCCAACAGACTCAAAGCTTCCTGATCGCAGAGCATGCCTAAGGTAGAGCCTGGAGTACAGCAGGCACGAAAGTATTGGTTGTTGGGAAAAAGTAGTAGGATGGAAAGAACGGGAGCCTGGAGTCGGAAACCTCAGCTCCAAGCCACCAAGGGGAGGCCTGCTTTCAGGAATGCACTGGACTCAAGGACTCTTCCATCTCCTTATATGCCCTTCACTTTGTCCCCTGCAGTTACAAGTCCCTACACGCCATCTCATGGGAACTTGAGATTCATCCAATTTGCTTCTTCCTCAATGTGAGGAAAAAGGGGAAAGGTGAACACTATGGACTGGACTGGGACAGTATTGAAACACAAGTCACATGGAAGTTGTCTTCTCTTCCCTCCTTCCTTTACTAAATTGCTATTTCTTTCGTCAACTTCCAGGTGGCCAAGGTTACCCGAGTTGCCTCCCCGGAAGAGCAGCAGGCTTGCGGACACACAAGATGCAAGTTTATCATTATACAACAAGGGCCAGATTTGATGTGGTCACAGTTCTTATCTATTGGTTCTAATAACAGATTACATATACTACTTTGGGTAACACGGAGCCCCAGGAAAAAGACAAGCCATTTTATTTTTTTCCATTTATAAAATGATTAAGATTTTTATGATAATGACAATGATGTCATCAGTATAAAAAAGTAATAGCAAATGAGCGTTCGTTTACTTAGATTTTATTAGACTATTAATATCAGGATGCAGGGTTCTTTCTCTTTTTGCTTCCTTATTCAAAGCCCTGACCTTGTAAGTCAAGGCAGCCTCTGAAGGACAGGGCTGACAATGAGACTGGCCTGAGCCAGTTTGGGAAACATTCTCCTCTGTCTTGGGGGATTCCACCCACTCAGGAAAGCTTATTTCTGATTAAAGTGTAAAAAGAATCTAATCTAGATGAATTCTGGCCCATCATTCAATTTAACTGGTCTGGGTGGAGATGGATCCTTTCCTCCAGATAACTGCAGGCAGCAGCATCTCATGACCAAGTCAAGCTTGGAAGACTTTTGGCCACCTCCTCATCAATATGTCCACCCCCTCTTTGATTGTTCACCAGTCAAGGGTTGATCTCCACCTGTCAAGGACACCCACTTTTCCAAAGGCATTTAAGCATTCGATCATCATAATAGTTTGTCTTTGGTTACTGAAACCAATGACCATCAGTTTATTATTTGCTAACCTAATTAATAAATTGATTATTAATGATCCAGAAACTCTGTCTCAGACTTTTCATTCATCTCACGACTAAACTATGTTTAAGATGAAGTTTGTCAGTATAAATTTCTATAGCAAAACAAAACTAAGTTATTCAGAAATTCAAGATGCTTACGAGAACACATAACATTGAAGAGATGTTGAAACAACTAAGTGTCCATAGTTCAGAGATGCTTTGATGACCCTGTCACGGAATTCCAATAAATCCACTGCATCATTAAGAACATTCCGAACCTAAGTGGGTAAAATGCAATAAATCTCATTAAAAAGCATGTAATACACATCAAATGTGCAAATAATATTTAATTAGGAAGAGTCTGTAACAAATTGGAAGGCAGGGAACAATTCTAAATGACCATAATAATTTGGGGAAGTCACCTCCTAAGAACATGAGGAAATTCAACAGGGAATGAGCAATAAAAAAACAAGCAGAAAGAATATGGAAAACTGAAAAATTACCCAGATGTAATTATGTGTAGCAAAAGCCTAAGCTAAAAGTCATCATTGATCACAAGGGCAAAAAGTGCTGCCACTGGAGAAAAAAGCCAAGATTACATTTTGGGATGTTATCAAAGTAATAGGACACATCATAGGCCTGGGAATTCTGATGTTATAGAGAAGCCACATTATATCTCTTTTTAGAAAGCACACCAAACTCTGCTTCCATGTGTTTAAAATGATATTTTCTGGAAAAAGTAGTATGAACCCTTTAAAAATGAAAAGGTTTGAGAGGGAAGCCAGTTAGAGTTATTAGCTAGGACACAAGAAATTAATCATTGACTACATGGAAGCCAAATCCACAGTGGAAGAAGGACAGACCCTTCTCCTTTTAAAGTAAAATGTTAACCCATTAGGAAAGGATAATAACAAAGATTCATGCTGGTCACAGTCCACAATCTCTTTTCTGGCACTGGCTCAACCACACAGGTTTCTTCCTTGTGCCAAGGGACCGAGGAGGGCTGGGGACTTAGACTGTGAGAGCATCGGAGTGACCAAACTGTGGCCATCCAGGCTTTCTGAAAGCAGGAACTCTTAACCATGGACACATTTCAGGTAGTCTACAAATTCGGATGTGAAAAAAAGATTACATCTTTATGTTCACGAACCTGTCTTCCTTTGCCATACTACATTTTATCTTATGCATTTAAAAATGCTACCCTGAGAAGGCATCCACAATTTCACCAGACTGACTTACCCAAGGGGTTGAGGACACCAAAAAGGCTGAAAACCCCTGGGTTAAAAGCCTGTAACAGAAACGTGGCTTTCAGGAGTTTTAACATTGGTCAGAGGTAGCTTCAAGTCTGAGACACAGACAGGCAGATTCAGGGCTAGTTATATTCCCTGAAATGAAAACCAGGGTTGAGTGGGTCATGATTGACAATAGTTGGAAATTAGTGATAAAAGTACCAACTTCTACTTATTTACAAATAACTTGAATTAGCAACTCAATTTTATTTAGCAAACACTTTTAAAACAACCTACTATTTGCAAGGAAACATCCTTTTAACTATAACAAAAATATTTACAATTCAAATAAACTGTTACATGTTTTAACTGGAAAAAAAAAACTCTGATTGCAAAAGGGAGTCAATAATCTCTGTCCATGAAGCCATTCTCCCAGAACTGGGGTTCACCTGGTCAGTCCTTAACTTGAGCTAGAAGACCCTTAAGAGGAAAGGTAGGCAGTTCTAATCTACAAAAGTCTGAGTGCCCCTGCCCTTCAGGGCCTTCTCCATCCCCTAATACAGAATCATCTGCATTATGCCTTAGAACTTTTAGAGAATCTATGGGGAAAGAGAAGAAGCTAAGAAACCTAGACTTTAGGGCATGAGACAAGGCTGGACAAGAATGTCTCCAAACTGTCCTCTTGGCCAAAAACATCTTACTTTACATTGCCCCAACCTTTTCTCTTCATTTTGGCATGCTGTCTGAAATTCCACCAATTAGAGATTTTGATTAACACGCATCCTTTCATAAAATTGAAAGTATGTTTAGAAAGTTCAAAACACTATCAGTCATTTATAACCTAGTTTTAATTAATTTGTATACTTTCCTCTTAACATCTACATGAAGCAGCTATACTGAGGCAAGGGAAGGAGAGTTCTGAATGAAGAAGGAGGGAAACAAATAATTTTGGACCAGGAAGCACTTTGAGGGGCAAAGAATGTTCACTGTGCCTTACCCACCAAAGCAAGTGGGTTGTAGTGAGAAAGTACTCTGGAGGGCTAGGTAAGTAGAGCACACTACAGTGGGTACGGGCAAGAAAAGAGGCATAGTAGGTTAGTCTTTGTTCATATGGATAATTTGCAAATAGTATTGCCCTTGTTGTGAAAATGCAATGACTGGTAAACATGAGCATAGTAAATAAGCATATAAATTGTGTATAAATTAAATCTTTGCAAAAACAATTATATTTTCAATGTGCAAGTATATTAAAAATGCAATTGCTTGTATAAAAGTTTCATTTACAGTTTTTCTTTAAACCAGTCTATTTTGTCAACTACACCAATCATCTTTTCGTAAGACAAATGTTTTGCAAACACTTTTTTTAAACACCAGTGTCGCTTCCCAGTGACTGTGCACCTCAACCTCAACCCCAATCCTGCAGAGAGAAGAGTGAGCCCTCCCTTGAGGATTCTGTCCTTCAGAATCATTACTGGTCACTCCATTGACCCTGGTTCTGATGTTTTTCACTGTTAAGACACACAGCTTGGAACAGTACCATAGCCCGAAAGCCAATCATGAATGCATACTTGCATGGTCCTTCTTTTGGTTAAGGTCACTTCAAAGTTCTTCCACTCCCAACGCTGCTCCACCACATGAGCAAACACGACTTGTCCATTTCCACAAGCTCCGGCCATCTGAGTGCCATCGATCGACCAAGCAATATTAAATATGCTGCCAGTATTCGGCTTCTCTAAAGCATATGACCACTTGGGAACACAAAACAAAAATTCTATTAGTTAAGGATGCTCAAGAATTAGAAAGAAAAGCAAATTACTTTTAATTACAAATTAGCCTATCACCAGAGATGGTTTTGCCATTTCTCCTGTCCTAGAAGGGGCCAGGGGCACTGAGATTCCTGGGGCTGACTCACTTGTCCAGACAAACACGTGGCAGAGACAAGGCTTGACCCCTGGTTTTCCTGACTCTACAACTAGCCTTCTCTCCCCCAGGTCATGCCATTGCCCATTTTGCCATTAAGCATATCAATGTGACTAGTTTTAAGAGGGCTTCCTCAAACCCTAGTCACGAAGAGTAGGGAGAGCCTGGGGGCAGAGGACCAAGCCTCTGTTTGCCTGTGACTACCCAGGATTTGGGGCATGTCACTCCCCTCTCAGTTTCCTCTGCAAAATGAACAAGACAGCTTCTAGAGGCTCTTGTAAACCTACATCTATGATCCCATCAATTGAGGCAATTCTGCCAGGAGGCATCTCAATCGAGTCAAAGCCTCATGTGTCTGCCTGCTCCTCTGACCTATTCCACTGGTCACCCTGGCTATTTTTAAAGCAGTATCAGATGGCTTGGATGATGACTGTAAATTAAATTCTTTGCCTCTCAATTCCTACTTTTTTCCCTCATTATTTCCTTTGAGATTCTGGAGCTTTTTGTTCCTGCAAATGAACTGATATTATTTCACACAGTCCTATTAAAGTATCCCCTTTCTAGAGAGCAACATAACAACAACTCCATATGCTAACTAAGAAAGTATCATCCTTGATAAAATGGCATTTTGGGGTTTTTTATTAAGTGCTTTCATACTACTTAACCATCCCTGTATCCCTGGTCTGAAGTATTAAACCCATTTTGTCAAAATACACTCTGTGTGTGTGTGTGTGTACATTAAAACACTGCCTTCTCTTTGCTAAGATTTTACTTTATTTCCGTATCAAAAAATTTTTTTTTGTAAAACTGGGTTAGAAGTATCTTTCTTGGATTAGTCCCTCCCTAGTTTGGGTATTAGAATCATACTTGTCTCATAAAAGTAGCTTGACAGATTAACTAGCTTTTCAATTTCTTCAAGAATAATTTTTAGAGCCTAATTCATATGAATCAGGAATTGTCTCTTTGATATTGCATTTATAACGTGCTGCCTTTTTCTAAGATTGAATTTTTTAAAATGTGTCTGGTTTTGTCAATTTGATATTTATATTTTTGCAGATGTAATGGAGAGGTTTTCATCGGCTTCCTTCGTGTTCTTGGTCTTGCTGGTATATAACTGTTGAAGTAGTTTTTTATAATGTTCTTCATTTCTTCTTTACTGTAAATTCATCTTGCCCAATTATTTATTTTTGTAGATTAATGTTCCTCCTGTTCTTTTTGGATCAGTTTAGCTAATAATTTATGAATATTATTGGTCTTTTAGTTTGGTCAGTTCTTTTTATTTTTAATTTGATCTACTTTCAAATTTTCATGGTTTCTTCATTTGCACACATTAATTTGTTTACTTTCTAGTTTTTAATTACATGTTCATGGGCTGTCTTTTTTTCCTATTTTTAATAGATGTTTTTTGACATAAATTTTTCCATCAGGCCTGCTATAACTACATTCTATAAGTTTGGGTTGTCTGTATCATTCTTATCATTCTCTTCATAATTAAGTGTTATTTCTACGATTTTCTTTTGGTTCACTCATTTTTCAATATTAATTTCTATTTGCTAATACTGCATTATTAATTAGTATTTTTATTGTGTTAACATCTATAAAGGAATGTCTTTCTTATTTCTGCATTTTTACATTTGCATGTGATTTCTTTATTCCCTCACATGGTTCACTTTTTGTAGAGGTACTACATGATGCTAATAAACGTGTATATTTTTAATTCCCTTAAGTCACCACAGAGCTTTCAAATACGAAATTTCCATCAATTTTTTGGATCTACATGTTTCTTACTTATTCTTTTTATAGATTTATCCAGCTCTGAGAAAAGAATGTTAAAGTCTCATATCAATGTATTGTTGCAGTTCAGCTAGCTTTTCCTTTAAAAGCTAAAGGTGCTATGCCATTTGGTTCACATATATTTAATAATGGTGCACATATAATTAATAATATATTTAATAATACTGTTTGTAACAGCAACTGTGAATGACTTAGCGATTCTCGGCAATACCAAGATCCAAGATAATTCTGAAAGCCTTATGATAAAAAAAAAAAGTCATCTAACTCCAGAGAAAGAACTGACCAAGTTTGAATACAAATCAAAGCATACTATTTTTCTTTTTTTTTCATTGTCTCTGTTTTCTTTCACAAAAGGAATAATGTGGAAATATGTTTTGGATTACTGCACACGTATAACTGATATCAAATTGCCTGCCTTCCCAATGACAGGGGATGAGAGGGAAGGAAGATGAGAATTTCTAAATCAGAATTTTAAAGAACAAATTTTTGAAATTGTTTTTAAATGTAATGAAAATAAACTTAATTTAAAAAATAATGATACTGTTTCATTGTGGCACCTTTAAACAAAATGTCATTTTCCCATGTTAATAAATTATTATTGTCACCATATCAATCATAATTGCCACGGTTACTTTTTTTAGACTCACATGAACGATAACAAATTTCATTCTGGTCACTCTTTTTAACTCTATTGTAGATGCCTAAATGTATTCAATGTGTTTCTTGTAGGCAGCAAATTGTTTTGATTTCTCTTCTTAAAAATGTCTTAACAATACTTGTTTTGATATCACATCTCTTCCCTTCTCAGAAAGCTATGCCTACAAAAAGATTAAAAAACTGAAGAAACAGAAGTCCAGCAAGATCGATACAAAACAAATGTACCTGACGGCATATACAACATTCTATATTCACGGTCCATATTTGCTCACGTTAGTTAAGGTTTGGTTTCTTATTCTTTTTCTTCCTGCATTGTTGTAGTCATTGTGTATTTTGTTTTTTGCGGTTCTGCTTACTTAACTTTATATAATTCTTACAAGCATTTTTACATTTGCCTGAGTTCTTCATAGTGATCATTTCTTACAGCCCAGCAATACTCCATTCCATTCCCATACCACAATTTATTCAGTCATTCCCTAATCAACAAGCAATTACTTTTTCCAGTCCTTTGCTACCACAAAAATGGCTGCTATCGATACTTGAAAGTATATGTGACCTTTCTGTCTGTAATCTCATAATGATGAGATACCCGGGTGTTGACATTTCAGACACTTTATCCCCTACAATTCCCAACCGCTCTGTTCACAGCTCTAATAACAGCATATTAGCGTGCCTGTGTTTTCACAACCACTCCAACATTGGCTATTCCCAGCTTGAGTCATCTTTGCCAATCAGCAAGGTGTGAGATGAAACCTCAGAGCTGTTTTCATTTGACAATATCCCCATCTTTCCCAAAAGAACAGCTTTTCAAAATCCTTGGGCCACCAATCTGTGGAGGAATGACTCTGAATGGTATTGACTGCCTGTATATCTTGAAAATTAGACCTTTATCAGAGATATTTTTCTTAACTGAATCTTTCCTTTATGAAGCTTTATTTCTTCTGTTTGTGCTGATATGATTTTTAAATTTCATCACTGCAACTTCCCTATTCTAGAGCCATGTATTTCTGGCAAGCATCACTTCTAGAACTTAAACTACGAAAAAATAAATCAAAATTATAATATATTTTGCAAAATACAAATCATGTTTTATCTAATCAATAAATAGAAGAGAATTAATGATACAGAAAAAAGCATAGAGGGCAGCTAGGTGGCGCAGTGGATAGAACACCGGCTCTGGAGTCGGCATCTGGCCTCAGACACTTGACACTTACTAGCTGTGTGACCCTGGGCAAGTCACTTAACCCCACTGCCTAGCCAAAAAAAAAAAAGGCATAAGGATAATTGCAATCAATGAGATCTCTATTTGCAACAATTAATTTGGACTTTGGATAAGAGAGTATCATTCACAAAACAAGGTGAGAGAGCTACTTTTCTTTTTTAAATTCTCAAGAGCTCTTTAACAAGTAACACTTTTATTTATTTATTTATTTATTTGAGACAATTGGGGTTAAGTGACTTGCCCAGGGTCACACAGCTAGTAAGAGTCAAGTGTTTGGTCTGAGGCCAAATTTGAACTCAGGTCCTCATGACTCCAGGGCTGGTGCTCTATCCACTGCGCCACCTAGCTGCCCCCTAATGAGTAACACTTGGCCTACATTAGACACACTAAGTCCTCTAGACAAGCATCACTAGCACCTTCCCCTCTTCCTTTTAGAGTCCTTCTCAGTAAGCTTTCCTATGTTCAGAATTCTGTACATTCCCATCCTCCTGCTTAGCTAAGTTGGCCTCACCCTCCAGGTCTGTATTTCCTGAATTTCAACCTCTCTCTTCCAGCTACCCTATCAACATTTGCTTATAACAGGTCAAGTTCTTAGAAAAGCTCTGATAAACTAATTAAAACTAAGGTGAATTAATACCTGAATTAACAGTCAATAGAATGCTACCACATCACACCAGTAACAATATATTTGAAATGGATTCAAAGGAATGCTTCTCTAATGATAGATAGAATTTCAAGTATACGAATATCCTCAAGAGAAAGTAAAGGAGATCTTTTAGGAAGGCAGATTTCCTCCTTCAGCCAGTATAAAGTCAGCCCTGAACTCAGCCTCCAAAACATATAACCAAATTGGTGAAAGTTAGCAAATCAATATGGAAAAAGAGCTAGATTATAAAATAAGATTTAAATTGGTAAATGGGTACAAATATCTGTAAGGGCAGCTAGGTGGTATAGTGCATAGAGCGCCAGGCCTAGAGTCAGGAAGACCTGAGTTCAAATGTGACCTAAGACACTTACTAGCTGTGTGACCCTGGGCAAGTCACTTAACTCTGTCCCAGTTTCCTCATCTGTAAAATGAGCTGGAGAAGGAAATGGCAAAGCACTCCAGCATCTTTGCTAAGAAAACCGCAAACAGGGTCATGGAAAGTCAGACAT